CAAAATTCGTAAATGATAATCATGCGGCTCGCCTTGTTTTGTCTTCTTTTTATGTTGAAATCTTGTTTTCAACTCGCGCGCGTGTGGCAGCAAGTCAATTACATAATGCTGCGTAGTTGATGGAAAGATACGTTTAAATGGTTAAGGCACATCTCATTTATTTTTCGATTAATTGTGTGCAGCCCGAGACAAATTGGAAACTTGTTAAATTGCATTACTGCCGGTGGCTTGAACAATCGAATGTCGCGCTGGGGGAACGCACTCAAATCGAACATGAAATTCGTCATTTCGCAAAAGCGTGATTGTTTGCCGGGAACAAAAAAAAAACGGCGACAAGGGGAAATGGGACGGCAAACGAGGGGGGCGGTTGCAGGCGCGAACCACGATCGAAGGCGAGAAATGCAAAGAGAGAGAAAGCGGACAAATTGCCGATTCCAGGAAATTAGTTTTCGCACCAAGTTCGTTTCATTCTATGCCAGTTATGTTTTCAATTGGTGGTTGTTAGTGCTGCCTGTTGACCTAACCTATAAGTGGGTTGTTATTCACCGAATGTACCTATACGCAATTTATACGCGCAGCAAATAAATTTTTAACGTTATGTAAACAACAACAAATGTTGTTGGCAAGTTGCTAAATCACGTAATCAAATTAATTGAAAGTTACAATTTAAATATGACATGATATGAATTAATATGACAAGTAACAAACACACCAATCAATCAAATCCACCAAAGGAAGCGAAAAATACTGCCCCTAATATTAATTAGAACGTTGAATGAATGAGATTTTATCTATAGACTCGACAGTTAATTAATATTAAGGACGTGTTGCATTTCCCGAAGCAAGCTCCAATTATATCTATGAAAAGGCCAGTTGAATGTTAATGAATTTAATCACTGTTTACCCAATATGTCACAATGAATCTAATTATACCACTAGACAGCATCATGCAAACTTAATCACCGACTATGACTAAAAATAAAAAATATTTCTATTGAATTAGGTATTGATCTCAATACATTTTTGATTCGCCACGCATGTAAACACATTGATTTATTACTTCTTAGTGAAACTGAAGACACGACAAACAAAATAGGTGTTTGTTACACCTGGTTGGTTTGTTATTTACTATGATTTGAGGATATTCAAGGCGCAAACCACAAACGTAGAGTTGCGGAGTGTTTTGTTGTTACACCGCTTCAAAAAACACACGATGTAATTATAGTCAACACACATTTACGCGCTACACAAAGAAAAACATAACACTATAATAATAAAGTCAAGGACAAGTATGCGCTGTAATTGTAATTGTAGCACACGTGGATGACTATCATCGCTAAAATGAATTATAAATAGTTAGGAATATTATCAGAATCGTTTAAATACGTAAATATTTAGAACTATTTAAATTCCCGTTTGCAAAAAAGTAAAAACCTGCCACGGTGTTATTGTATAATTACAAGGTAATACTCACTAACGAGAAAATAACATTGTGTTATTAGTTAATCATACACTTCGCATCTAGTTTGAATCAAATGATTAGTTCGTGCGCGGTGTATTGTCAGCTTCCAAAGTTTAAAAGCCAAAGATCATACAATTTCATCCAGTTGCAGAGTGGTTATCAAGCGTTTAATTCGACAAGCTGTCTATTAGAGTTAACAATCGGTTAATTCCCCGTAATGACTAATGATTAATACCGCTTATATAGACTGTCAGTTTTCACTGATAAAATAAAATGAAATATTGTATGAAATGTTTTTTAAAATTGAATCCATTTAACATTCCAAGCGTGTGTTTTGCAATATTTTGCTACAATTTATTTTATTCGACGGACGAGCGCAGCATTTTGAGTTTTCGGCGGTGAGCCACTTCAATATAATATTGTGAGCATATATCATACGTATGTAGCGATTCATTCAAAGTGGAAACTTTGTTATATTCCAACATAATTCACGGTTGTCGGTTCGACGCGCCATTACTGCCATTGTGTACATGCACCCCTTCAGCAATATTCAAATACCCATTTGGTTAACCAACGCGCATGAATACATAAAAGTTCACTACAGTTTGTTTCAGATGTGTGTGATGAAGTATTGAATCATAGTTGCTTTACGCTGAACTCTTAATGCAAAAGTTTTAATGGAAACTGTTTTCCGGCGTGTCGAGTTCACAAACATTTTCAGAATGATTTTTTAATCTCACAAAGTTAATTTTAAAGTAAATAAAAGTTAAAAATTATAAAATAGGTAGAATTCTAGTGAAATTTTAAGCAAACTGTATGGAATTTTTGGATGTAAATAGCGTGCAGGATACTTATGCTATGAAATGAAATTGAATATGCATTTTGATTACATAATCGATAAATTCACTTAGGTTCAACCCGTAGTATCACCATTATATATCAAAGAATATTTATTGGTTTGCATAATGAAGGCTATTAATCAAACAACAACATATTCCACAAATGTATTAAAAAACCAATTCGATTTGTGCGGTCTCCCTTATCAAATGCAACATTATGATAATATAAAACAAAACTCAGCAATCACATGCAGTCAAGTCAAGTCAATGACTCAATGACAAACTCTTTACTGGAACAAAAGTCGCCTGAAGCCAAAGAACTTCGCTTCTTTTATCAATTTTTCTCGTTTGTTCTGAAAACTCGCTCGTTTTTGACTTATTTATATGGCATCGAATGTTTCATCTTCTTTGTCGAATTAAAAAAAGAAGCAGCGCGACTTGGCATTAGCTCGGGAGCATCGTTCGCGAACAGCGTGTCACCAACATTACAGCACTCTCACTGATGCTTTGGGTTGTAGGACAAAGCGCGCATAAAGAGAGAAAACGTAAAAATCGAATCAGACTTGTTTACACAGTTCCTTGGAGCTGTGGGTTTGTGATGCTGACGTGCGGGGCTGATTTGTTCCAGACATTTTTGCATAATATCCCTGACACGAATAGAAGCGACGATTAAAAATCGCTGGGTCATATAAACTCGGTTATCAAAATATGCAAATTATTACTGACTATTCATGTGTGCTACTTCATATGTCATACGTCGATATAATTTATGAATCGATTAAGTAATCTATTCGCAAAATATATTTTTCCATGTTTGGCGGATTCGAACTAGTATAATTTAGTGTTTATTACGTCGTAACTATTACATATTAATCAAAAAACGCAATGATTGATACTCGATTAATCATGTATCAATCACAAACAAAAATTTACAAACATGTCGGTGACGTCAACTTATTCCGTGAATGTTTTTTCTTATACGAAATTAAAACTTGTTTTAAATTTTAAAAAATTGAATGGTTATGAAGTGTATAAATGGATTTGTGTAAATATTTAATTAAAAACAGTTCGAAAAAATTGAACTGCTGAAAATGAAAAAACCACATTGAAACATCACACCAGTCAAAATTGTTATTTATTAAAAGTTTTCGCCACCATCGATGCTCTCCGAAATCGATTTCACTCCCCATTCGCACTCGCATCCAAACTTTGTGCACTCAAAACACTGTAACACACTGGCACTAGGGGAGTGTTTTGCCAACGTTTACATATCGTTGGAAAACTAGGACGTTTCGTAAGCGCACGTCCGTCGGTGTTTTTCTAAGAGTACGTACTTACATATGTATACTTAATGCACAGTAGCACAATGATGCGTCGGCGGAAGAGTAGAAGCGCACCGTTCCGCGGCATGTGAAAGAAATTTACATAAATTGACATAAACAGATGGGCTCTTCCGTGTAATAAACTTTTTACGACTTTTTTATCTGCACGATTTCATGTTTTACGATTTGTTGTGTCGCGCTTCATAAACATTTCTCATTCACTCCTGTCGGCGGCATCATATCGCGTGCACGTGATGCATCTCTTCTCGCTGGCTTTATTTCTAGCCAGCGAGTGAATGTGTGCGCGCAATCAAGTACAGTCAGCTTGTGTCATTATCTGTAATGTACATAGTCATGATTAACAAATGACATTGTTGTCGGATTACATTTTTGTTATGCTAGTTCCGTTTAATATAAAAATTTGTGCTGCTTTTTTATTCATTTAATTTTTTTATTCAAAATAAATTTGTAAAATAAAATTATCAATTGAAATGTTCGATTTAAACGTTTCTATTCACTAAATATTCGTCATAATTTAGTTTCAGCTGTTTATGTCGCGCAATAAATCTGTGATAAGAATTGACATATTAATACATTAAACCAGCAAATTTGTTTTGATACACTCACTAATTTTTTTAACTTTAAAAATGTCATTAAAAAAGTTTCGACATTAAAATTGCCAGACTCTAAGCTATGCAATTTCCATGTATTGCATTTTTAAAGTACCTATATTTCTAAACTAATTCAATTGCTATCTATTCATTAACTGAAAATAGAGCTGTTTTGAAAAAAACGTTATACCTTCGAAACGTTGTCATATAAATTGCACAGATAACAACCATTCCAAAAATTGCATGCGCACGCGGTTAGATGATGCAAAACAAGTGCTTCAATTGGCTGATAAGCTTTCAACTGTTGCAACGCGTAAAAACAATCAGAGTCGTATGAGTGCGACAAATTTATGCGTTTATATGATTCTTTTTGCTGCTTTTTGTTTAGTTCGCGTTGACTAACAACAAGCATAAACGATATTATACAGACATTTGTCGATTGGTTGTGTGTGGGATATGTAAATCTTATCAGCTGGCTACTTATGTGCCAGCAACACGACGCGGAGCCGAGTGACACAGAACCAGTCTAGTCGCGGACTTTTATCGCACCAGTCGACCGCATCGCGCTGTTCAATTCGGAAGCGATCAACTCGTTACAAATCCTTTTGACACAGTAGTATTTATAAAAATCTGTCATCATGGTAAAGCAATAAATCACAAATTACTAGTAGTAAAACTTTTCGAAAATAAATATTTCTTTCTGTTTGCTTGTTTTCGTGATACGATTTGTTCTGATGGTTCAATTTATATTATTTTCTTGTTACAGAGTAAAATGCCGAACCACGTATTGGAGTCGTCGCCGAACGCGGCCCTCAATAAGTCCATTATCAACCGATTTATGGACCTCCCGATGCCGGATGGCAAATGTCAAGCGATGTACATTTGGATCGACGGCACCGGAGAGAATCTGAGAGCGAAAACCAGGACGTTGGACTTTGTGCCGCAGAAACCCGAGGGTAAGTTTGATTTAACTAATAAAATCGCATTAGTCCTGCCCTCCAGGGAAGACCGTGGCCGTGGTTACATGACCCGACCGTCATTTATACGCGAGATACAAGTTCGAGTTTATAATTTTGTAATCGTGTGACGAGATATTTAGAGTGAAATCTGAAAGAAAATAATAACGTAATACGGAAATTTCCAGAGTGGAATATTCCATTGGTCTGTCACCTTATTAATCAACACATGTCGAATTAAGTAACAATGTAATTGCATGCAATTTATTGTTCTTCTTTAATTAACTGCATTCGCATTAACAGCGGACATGAAATATCACCAAACTTTTTGTTAATTCTATTATGTTTGTTGAAAGAAGCAATTAGTTGATTAGTAATTTGCTCATTTCTGCTAGTGCACTTTGCTTGCGCGCTAATGCAGATGAAACAAAGCGGCGTAATCCGTTAAGCGTACGACATTTAATCAACTTCAAACTACCTCCGAACAAATAACATACAGCGCTGGTATGTCCTTAGTAACTATTCATTCCTCTCGGCTGACATGTTTTGCAAAGCTGCTTTCGCTCTTCATTAAAATTCGCGCGCGGTTGGACGTTTAACTAGTAAATTAGCTTGTATCCGTGCAGTTGTTACCTATAGAACAGTTTTTTTTTTAAACCCGGTAAAACCACTATATTCATTACTACACACAGCAACAAATTGAATTATGCACTGTGTTTAACTTATGTATTATGCTTGATGTCAGCGCTAATTTACTCATTTTGTATGATTGATGTAGAACTTCCGGTTTGGAACTACGATGGCAGTTCTACGTATCAAGCCGAAGGAGCCAACTCCGACACGTATTTGCATCCAGTTGCTATCTACAGAGACCCCTTCAGACGCGGCAACAACAAATTAGTTCTCTGCGAAACCTTCAAGTACAATAACAAACCGACTGGTAAGTGCATTTCTGCTTCGTTCCTAATGATTGCTCGCGTTCAATTAGGCGGCCATTATGCGCAGATTGCAGCGGGCGAACGCAATTGTGGCGAAAGCTGTGTGCGTTCTTCAAAACGTAATTCTCAAGGAGAGAACACACAGCGAAACGCCAGGCAGTATGAATTGAATCATTCCATTCATTCCAGCGCGGCCAGACTGTTCGACGGCGAAAAGTCGTAAAATTAAACTTATTACGAATAGCAATGGCGTTAATCTTGACATTGGCGCGCGTTTTATTATGCAATCACCGCACATTGCGAGGTCGTTTGCCGGAGCACATTTTATCACCTCATAATTTGATTTTAAACACTCGATCGGCACTTGATTAAAAGCGAAAATAATTACTCGTCTATTTTCAAGTTGAAAAATTCAATTGACATAATTGTGCACTTTATTAATTTAGAAAAAAATGTGATGAAATTGTTTTGATTCTAATCATCCACTTAACCTATATTTATCAAGTATTATTTAAGCCATGATTTTATCTTGTTTATAGAAACAAACAAAAGAAATATGTGCAAAAAAGCGATGGATTCCGCTGCTGACGCGATACCATGGTTCGGAATTGAACAAGAATACACCCTGTTGGATATGGACCTGAGGCCCTTCGGCTGGCCAAAGAACGGTTTCCCAGGCCCACAAGGCCCCTACTATTGCGGAGTTGGTGCTAACAAAGTTTACGCTCGTGATATTGTCGAAGCTCACTACCGCGCCTGCCTGTACGCCGGCATCAACATTTCTGGCTCGAACGCCGAAGTGATGCCATCTCAGGTAAGTTACTACTAAACCCGGAACATTTCTGAACCAACTTTAATACGTCATTAATTTTATAGTGGGAATATCAAGTTGGACCGTGTGAAGGTATCGACATCGGTGACCAGTTGTGGGTGTCGCGTTTCTTGTTGCACCGTGTTGCCGAAGAGTTTGGCGTGGTCGCCACCTTGGACCCCAAACCAATGCCAGGAGACTGGAATGGCGCCGGCGCGCACACCAATTTCTCCACCAAGGCTATGCGCGAGGATAACGGAATTATGTAAGCAGTTGCTTTTTACTACATAGAGTCCAGGTCCAGACCGAGAGTCCAAAGCTTTGAGAAAGTTTTCTGACAAAACGCGGCGTTAATTACACGCTTCGTGTCGCGCTAAACAGCAAATGCTCGTGCTAATTATCACGGGTAGCTAAAAGGGCCGTCCTCATTAAGATAATTAGAGATGATGTACGACTTTAAGCGGATCACGGTTGTTACCAAACCAGTAACAGTCAACAGAAAAATTTAAATTAGAGCCTGCTTAGTTTTAAATAACAATAAATTAATTCTAATCAGGAAATAACGCATTTCCAGAAACAATTGGTCAATTTAAATACCAATTGGATATTATTGTCACAATCAATATTAATAATCCACTTAAATTGCAGTGAAATTGAAAAGGCCATTGATAAATTGAGCCGCAACCATTTGAGACATATCCAAGCCTACGATCCCAACCAGGGTAAGGACAACGAACGCCGCCTTACCGGAAAACACGAAACGTCGTCTATCCACGATTTTAGCGCAGGTTAGTATCGATAAGAAGCAGCGTATGCTAGGAATACATGGAATGATTGATTCGTTGCAGGCGTTGCCAACCGTGGAGCCAGTATTCGTATTCCGCGCGGTGTCGCCGAAGATAAGAAGGGCTATTTGGAAGACAGAAGACCGTCGTCTAACTGTGATCCGTACTCTGTGACTGAAGCCATCGTCAGGACCTGCATTTTGGACGAATAAACGCGTTTTTTACACGATCGTACAATATTTACACAGAACTAACACCAATATATAAGTAACCAGGACGGAAACAAACAACAAGTACATATAATATAATTATTAAAATTTCAATTAAAATATTGGATCGCCGATAACTAAAATTTTCTACTGTAACTTATACACTCACACTATTATATTGTTAACGACGTTATTATCTACCAACAGTGAGAAATGTTATCACTGCAGCGGGAAACAAATGCCGAGCACCTAAAACTAGCCTAAATCATTCGTGATGCTCAAACAATTTATGTCACAAGATGAATTTGTGTCTATTGATATATGTGACCAAAAATTTTCGCGACAAATTGCGACGTTATTTCAAAAGATACAAAATTTATAGACACGAAATGCTTGTGAACATTTCAAAACTGTCGAAATTTATTAGATGCAGTATGCGGAGATTAGTGCTAATGACACACCACGATAAATGAATACATTTCATAATATTTTTCTATGCATACAAAACGTATAACGTTAGTATTCTAATTAAATTAAATAAAATAGCATATCATTAAGTAGATTTAGGCATTTCTATAATATATTTTTACAATTATTTTAACGCAAACGAAGAGTTATGTTTCAGCTGATTTTAAAATTTAATGTTATCAAATTGCAGTCAATTTTAAAGTCCGTTTCATTGTAATATTTATATTAAATGTGCAGTAAATGAGTTAATAAATAATTTTATCCTGCGCTAGATTGCAAGTGTCCCAAACACACACACACACACGTAGTTGGTGTATGGTATTATTCTGTATTTTTTGGTATATTGATTTAATGCGCACTTAGCTATTGATTACAACAACAAACAATGTTAATATTGATTCAATGGTGTGTATGTCGTCAATTTATATGTTATTACTCTATTGTTGCATCGTAGTAGGACGTAAAATATTATGAATTATGATAGTATATTTAATAGTTAAATGATTATTGTTATATAGTGAGAGACGACATTATGCAAATTAATCTAACGGAGAAAAGCGACGAATATATCTATATTTGTTAATAAAATGCAGTACATCTTATTAATATATTTACCTTTCTATTATCAAATTGCACATATTGTGATTCTTAAACAAATGACTAGATCATTTGCTTGGACAGTGGAATGTGGTTGGTGTAATTGGCTTCCTTAACCACGGGGAATACCAAAAAGAAACATAATCATGGAGTGTGCATCTTCTCTTCCTAAAACATGTCCTAAAAAAGATTCATTAACTGAAAGGAGAATGAAAGATTTATTCAGAAGTAAATATTTATTCATAAATTTTACAGGTTTTTTTATGCGCAATTAATTTCTACGGTTATATTGGACCTAGTATCTGTGTCAATTCTATCAGTACTTAAGCGCCATTGTATTATAAATGATTTTCAATCTTTAATTCAATCTGTTCCTTTCCATTACTTTTAGTTTACATTCGTGGTGTTATATAATAAATATAAGAATAACCTTGTGACCTGCTGCACCACCTTGGGCACCAGGCTATTGGTACCATGTGTATACACATCGTCCAATCATTTAACACACACACACACACACACACAAATAAATGCAATTATACAATATCCAACTTGCGAAATTTTACGGTCGCGAATTATGTTGGCTCAAAATATCGGAATTATGAGCAAATAGAAAATATCTTATGATCCGCGTACAAGAACGAATTGCAGTCGCCAAAACTGCAAAAAAAATATTCGGGTTTATAGAGGAACCCCGATTCCAGAAAGAATTTAACAGTTGATCGATTGCATTGTTGGTGTCCTCCGGCAATGATCCGCGCCTGAAATACCGAAATGCAACGCGAATTTAACGGATTACCGTGTACACTAACGTGATTGTTACAATGATTTGAATTCACGTGCATTGATTTGCGCATAAATGTACAAGACAACTCGTTTGGTGTCAGGTGTACTCACTCAGTGCTTATAGACGTCCGGCGTTTCTAGCAATGCTGGGTGGACTATCCCTGAACCAAGGACCTAGACCCGAGTGGGCCTCCCCTTCGGCTGTCGCATACGCAGCAAAATGCTTTGCGCATCCACCAGTCAGGGGCACTCGTGACTACCCTCCGGTCCAGGTCATCACCACACCTACCTTATATCCGGCTCCTAGAAACTGGGATCCTTCGTCAAAGTTTCTAAGGAGGATGCGTCGATATTTTCCAAACTTCTGTCCAAAACGCTGGTAGGATGCTTGAAGTGGGCTCATCATCTTCATCTCCCTCAATGGTGGAAAGGTTCGAATAACACGAATACGAATACTTGCGGATTGATACATCGCGACACGCACTCGATTTTGATGGAATTCGGATATACTGCTTATATTTAATTACAATTTAAAGACAGACTTTTATGCACTGTTTCCAAAAATAAAATAGGATTTTACACAATTATTTTAATACGCGACTCGACCCGCACTCGATGAGTATTTCGTTACACCTCTCCAGGTAAACCGTATTTAGCTTAAAACCACGCGTACTGTTCAGTCTGAAAATAAAATTTTATAAAAAGGAAGAAGTTAGGGGAGACCTTATACAATCAAAATGCTTTTTCATAAAATTAATTAAAAAAAAAGATTATAAATTTAAATTAGACAATGTTTGCAAAACTTGTACTGCTTGGCTAATGGTCCAATTAATTTTTTAAATAGAAAATAGTCAATTAGATAAGCTAAATAATACCTCGTTAATTGCAGGAATCAGCTCCTTAATAAACAAAGCTAATGAAAAAATGTGAACCGAATTTAGTATCAGAAAAGGTAAGGTAGAAAGAGATTCTAATGGTATCCATATCGTTAAACAAGATATTACTGCACAAAATTATGGGGATACATGTTAGGAAAGAATACAATAACCAAAAACGAACAAACGCGCCCGAGTTACAAAATTTCCCAAACAAAATCGAATATATACCTGAAACACAAGCAGAAAGAACAATTAGAAGATGCAAATTTAAAAAATTATTGAATTTTGTAAATAAATAATCATGTCCAATTGTTAACGCGCACTTCACTTCACTTTACTTTGAATAATGCCACTTTCGCTTTATGGAGGGACATGAGAAAATAAATCGCGCCACAATACTTACAAGAAAATTTCACCTCAAAAATGATTGAAGGAATTTTCTAAGACAAACCAGTTACCAATACTTATGCTGCCCCTCTTACTTAACCAAGCATAAAGATATGGCAACATAAGAATGGAACCCCTTGTTGTGATTACTTGGATACCTTAAATTGGATAAACATTAGCATGTCGTAAAAACAATTAATTTCAATAATATAATAAATAAATGCCCTGCGACTACTGTCTTTGCCACAGCCTCGATTCCTTGAAATATAATTGTCACCAAAACGCACAGCTGCAGGTAGATAGACCGCAGCTGAAACTCGTCGTCAGCAGCCGTTACAGTTCTCCCAAAGATCAGCAACACCTATAGTAAGATTTATTCAGTTTTAAGAAAAATACAAATTTAACTTTGTCAGTGAGATGTAATAATGATACCAGTGGCGCATATCTCTGTGTGACGATTTCTACGATCGTCAAATTCTATGCGGGCGAGATCGTCATTAGCGTACAGATCAATTAATTATTTCACTAGAAAATGATCACACAAAACTATGAGCGCAAAGTTTGTTCGTAACACGAATGTAACGTAGATATTAGAGAACGAGAGAGAAAGAGAGGAGAGAGAGAAGTACAAAATTGAAAAGACAATATTTTTATTATGCGCATGGTACGCATCATATTGCGTACCGATAAATAAAACGAATATTGTGTGTCCACTTGCTATGAGTGCAAAACTGGATTTTTACATTGCAGGTAGAAAAGAATTCGACTATGTAAACAAACAACTGATAAGCCGGTCGCTAAACGAAGAATGCGTGTGTTGAGTTGCGTGTATTTGGACAACGCACCGAAAAATAGTTCTACGCAGATTCGTTACACATAAGTTTGAAAAATTCGAATTGGGGAAAATACACGAAATCTATCAAAAATCCAATTAGGCGTTCTTGTAGTACTCAATTTACTCTACAAAATGAACTAACGCCATGATTCCTATCGTAAAATTTAATATTTTAAAGAAACAAAAACGAATTCGGATCTAACAAAATTTTCCTACGCGCGGACGCCATGCACCGACGCCGTTTGCAAATTTTTATAAATATCGAATTATATGCGTTACCAACAAAAATATGTAAAACAAATGTGCTATACTTACTTGCAATCACGTTGCACACTGATTTTTAATAGTTACCAGCAGTTTTTCACAAATTTTTATATTTTATAATAATTTTTTTACAGAGCTGTAATCAAAGTCGTTGCATCAAGCCGACTGAAAACGTTACAAACATGTTGCAACTTGCAAGAGGGATATTCTTCAGCGCGCCGTCGCAGGCAACGCAGGCGTCGCAGGGTGAGGAAAAGTAGGAGAAGTGCGAGTTAAATGTGCGGAGAGGCAAAGACGACTTATTTATAATCTAATTCAAATATTCGTCAATAGAGTGAACATCAACATACAAAAAGATTTATTTATAATTATATTTAAATTTACTACACAACATTCAATTTTATATTAAAACTGAATGTAAAATTAAAATAAAAATCCTGCACCTGTGGAAACACATACTTATCAGAATAAAAACAGTTTGCATATAAATAAATGTATAAAATATACAAACAAACGAGGAATTATAGGGAGTAAAATATTAAATATGAATTAATTGGATGATTATATTTCAAATTTGCTGAAAAAAATAAAGTTTCCTGGATTCAATTTAAAATCTTTGTGATAATATGTAGAAAAACTCAAAATAAACGTTTAGAGACATTCGAGAAATCACAAAAACCATTCAATATAAGTTGTTTTATATATCATCGTATTAGTATTTATATTATATATATATATATAATGCCTGATAGAGTAATAGAGTTTCATAATCATATTATATAAGAGTCAAGTTTTAAACACATTATCATAATATTCTTATACGAAAAACTGAAACGCAAGGCGATCACAGATAAACAACTGCCAAATTTAAACATGCAGAACTTTCTTTCATTTTTAAGAATTTTTTTGTGTATATTTTTGTGTTTTATCATCATTCCCACCATTAGTAAATTGCACATTTCGTTTGATATGAATTATATCAACGCATTGTATTTTTGCATTATGTTTCATTTATAATATGTATATAATGTATATTCAATTATTTAAAAACATTCAGCTAGTCTACGTTGTACTGGAACAACACAAACTGACGATATATTTCATTTCTCACGATAAACAATACATACTTTCCTACTGTTTCTTACAGCGTGTGCGCACCTTGAACGTCTTGAAAATGATAGACAACTGGTTTTCGTTTGATTGATTAGCGACCTTTTAACCAAACGGCAAAGCGAATTCTTTTGCATACAGAATTGGACATTATCGACAGTTGTTAAATGCTCTTCTTTTATTTTAGTATTTAGTATGATAAGCTATGTTTAATTTTCGTGTTATTGATTAATCGTAATTGTACGGATGGCACCGTCGTTCAGTAGTGTGTAACCAGTACATATATTTAATATTAAAACGGTCACTGCGAAAACAGTGAACACGATGTGATAGTACTAAAGTATTAAAAGTCTAACATCCCAATACTTCAGTGCATTATCATATTTTATATGTATATAATAATCATAATAATAAGTTAGGAAGTATGAAGGCATATAGATAGTTATTTTTTAGTTCCATTTTCATTTTTTTTTCTTTTTTACTTTGCTTGACTTAGTATCATCCCTTTGTAACATCACCGTTATCATATTTGTAATATTAAATACTCATATATCATTAATAATAGATAATAATCATAATATGTAATATTTATACAATATATTCAGTTTCAAAAAGTGCGTTTCTCATCATTAAAATTGGTTTGTCGTTCAATATTTTGATACTTGTGTGCAAATTATTTCTAACACAAGTATTGCATCATCCTTATTTCATTTTGATGTTTGTAGATTATAATGTAATGCAATTACAGTCACATTCCGGAAATGAAACAAGTTGAAAGAGTTTCTTAATAACCGAAGTACAATTTTAAGTGAGTCAAACAGGTCACACTAAAATTATGCCATGAACAACTTTTCTTACATTCAAGATGGACATTTACTATTCTGACTCATTAAGTTTCTTCTAAGACGCTTATTTGCTTATTGTACTGTCGCCCAACCTATGCTTTTATATCAGTAAGATGCTATAAAGGCATTCAGACGACAATCAAGAAGGGTTTTTGTAACATCCACAAATCATATCGTAAGAAGTTTATAAAGTCACGATGTACGATTTTAAGCAGGTATGTGTGTTTAAGTTGTAAATATGTATGAATGTTCAGTCGTAGAATTTGTTATTAGTTAAGTTATTATTATTTTTTTGTAAAAAGCTAAGAAGGTTATTGCTTGCCCGTTTTACAGTATGTTAGAATATGTTCTAGTTGTATGAAGAAAATGTAATGTATAATGAATTATACGTGTAGGTTCATTTGGAAATATCAATCGTGTTGAAATTTTGTACCAGCTTTAAAATTTAGCTACGATGTAGAGATAATAGATTCATCGTTGATTTGTCACACTTTAAACACAATCAAATTCAATGTAGTGCAAGCGGATAGCAACAAAAACCAAGAATGTCTAATTCTAAAGATTGTTCTTAGCTCTACACACGTACACATACAATCGCAGTGTATAATTTAGCAAAGATGCATTTAGAAATTGTTTTTGTGTTGAAACGTTATTATTGCTTTGATATACCACAGTCAATGCTAACGTAAATACATAACTTTTGTTCAAGGGGAGGTAACAAAGCTTGTGACGACAGATTTTGCATCAAAAACCCCAAAATAATAATTTATAATAGATATTTCTTAGATGCAGTTGTAATATCTGACTGTTGACTCAAATATATTGTTAAAGTTGACAAACCAACGATACAATCTTCAAGATAAGAAATATACAGTTTACATCTTTAAAGTTAAGTGGTATATTAATGTTTTTAGTACGGTCAATTGCTAAAGTAGGCGAATATTTTTAGTTGTTGCAAATTAATACACGTATTTCCACCAATAATTCATTAACTACTACGTTTGCTTTCATATAAATATATTTGTACCTATATTATATTTTAATGACCATTTATTTGGAAAAATCACTTTAAACTGTAATATTATGTTGTTTTAATATATCATATTTAGTAAGATACATGTTAGCCGATGCCCTTTGTGTGTGTAACGCTGTTGACATGAAGTAAATTTTTGTTTCTCTGACATTAATGCTCACAATAATGTAGCACCTTTGATTAGGTTTAGAATCGAAGAAAGAATGTAATTTCCCCAACTTCAAAAACAGGGTGTGATTAATTGGTTGTTAACTTTGTACAGAGTGCAAGAATAAACTACTATTTGCTTGTGGTCATGCAATAAACAAATGAGGTACAGCTTGCCCTAGTCATTTATAATTTGTTAGTCTAAATTGTGCGATTTCGAATACAATTTTCGGCAAATGCACCCTTGTGCCCAATGCACTGAAGAGAATAAATTTTGTGTATAAATAATTCATCATTAACAATCAATAATTTTCATGAATATATTATAGAATCAATTTACAGAATTTCCATAATAACCATAATAAATTGTAGAGAGTAATAAGTGTAATAGATAAATGTTACAATAATTAGTTGTTTCTTGTTTGTTTATTGTGTGTATTGCCCTCCTTACGCTTATGTCCTTTTTAATTCGGGGAGTTTCAAAGTCGTAGCATAACTTAAAATATTAGTGTATATTTCGTTAAGTTTTGCATTATTTATTTGATTTATTCAAGTCCTTTTTAAATCGGTTTAGATGAAAAACAATTCGTAACAGACACGCAGTACACTAAACAAAATCATCAAGAGGCAACACATTCACGCAAATAAACGCTTACTTAAAGTTTCGAATTGATTTTACTCAAAATATCAATTCCACATGAATCAAAACACATATCGCTCAATAATCGTACAAAAAACAAAATAAATATTAACCGCATACAATAAGTATTCGCCTAACTACCGCAATAATATGTAAACTAAGCTAAATAAATAAAATAAATATTAACAGAAATAAAGATTTCAAGATCCAACGCAAACGTAAAACACAAACACATGTCATTGAACAACTACAAACAAACATTGAAATCAACATTTTATTTCCAATTAAATCGACATAATTTACACATTGAATAGAATTATTTGTATCGTAAGGATCAAGTTGAACGGTAATTGATATTTTGAGTATAAAGAAAGAAAAAACAAATTTATAAATAAACAATAACCATTTAAAAATGTACATAACACAATTCAATCATCAACCATCTTATCATAATTTCATTTTGTCATTGTTAATCTTTAACTATTACTCGGTTTGCTTAATTGCATTTTGTACAATGAAAAAATATAAGTACAGCACGTAGTAACAAAGATGTGTTATTTAAGGTATCATTAATTATTATATTTAATTCAATATATGAATAGATAACGCTTAATGAATTAAGTATATGTAGATAGTTTGATATAGTTAAACAGAGGGAGAGACTCGATTTGTTTCACCAGCTCTCGTTCATTCAATATCGGCAATTCTGATAAAGCTATTCAAGGTTTGTGTCTTCCTTGTGTGTCTCATAACGTAATGTAATCGCTCGAATTGAATAGATAGGCTAGGCAACGAGAGGAGAGAGTCGAGAGTGAAAAAGAACTGTGGAATATGTATGCATTTGCTATTCGTTTGTTGTCAACATTGACATCTTATCATTGTGATCAGAGTCGTCACCATCTTTTCATGTCATTTTTAATCGTTTATTATAATTACGAATTATATTTCATTATTATTATTAGCAATATCCATTTATCCATTTTCTTAAAGTTTTCATTAAGTTTAATCCAATGGTTGTTTGTTTAATTTCATTAGTAGATAATTAATTAATAAGTTCATTTCTTCATAATCTTATTCATATAGTTTTACTTTTATAAATTTAATGTATATTTAAATTAATTTTAACACACACAGACAAAAAATGTGATTTGCATTTTTTTCTTAGCTTTTTCACGTTTGTATTTTTATCATAAATAATGCATGAATGAATATGCATTTCATTAGTACTTTATAATATAGATTTTCATTATGGTTTGTTTTTCTTTAAATATAATTAAGTGTTGCATGACGTAATAAGACGATATAAGGATGAGAATGTGGCTAATGTGGATGGATGAAGTGGCGCATGAGAAGAGTGTGTATCAATGTGTATAAGATAGGATGGTATCATGTAATGATAATGATATTTAATAACAATGAATGTGACGTACACGTCGACATTTTAATCGTGTTTATGTATAATATGTATAATAGATTAAGTGGTATGGCACGCTTTTTTTATCACTCGTGCATTGTAACCGTCTTATTTATTTTTGTTTGCTTATCATTTAATAACGTTAAATATGTTAAAGAAGTCCTGTTTTACGAACAATCATCCCTACGACTGCACAATCAGCCAATAATCATCGTTTCTCTCAGTGAATGCATTGAATATTTTATACTCTTGATGGTTGCGCTCCGTCAATGATCCGATATTAACACCAAAATTTATTAATAAAGAACAATTGCGCGTTCACATTAAAGATACAGCGTGTTGCGTCGAAACGACTTCTCAGAGAACGTGAGTACACCTACGTTAATGCTGATAATATTGATTGATTGTCAGTCGTGGGATTTCATCGAAGAAGATATTTCATTAAGTTCGATATATTTTAATTATCATTAATAATAAGTATAATAATATAGTACACACTTGAAATTTTTGTTTGTTTGCAATTTATATTACTATATGTATATATTATCATCGGGAAGGAAAGAAAGCAGACCAGCTACTTGAAGAAAGATGTTTTTTGTTTTGTGGTCGATCAGACGTCAGTATAATAGTTAATGCATATGCGTGTAATGCATTTCATATATCAATAGATATTTGCTGTTATATATCATCTTGACACAAAGATAAATAAAGTGTTACTTGTGTGACGAGCCTGCCGTCCCCGCTGTTAAATGTTGTCTTGCTTTTTCGCAACGTTACTTTTGCTTTGCGTTCATTTAATAGTTTTTTTATGTATAATGTTAATTAAACGTCGCCTAGAAGCCTAATTATTTTAAGATGAATTGTTTTTGTTTTTTTTTTCAATTTATGTATTAAGTATATTAATAATAACATGTAGAGTAGAGGGAGTGGTTTTTTTGGTGAACGGACGACCGCATCGAGCAGCTCACTCAACAATTTTCGCTGCCAGAAAGTAAAGTTGACGAGAGGCAACCGGAAAATAAGTTAATATTATTACATCTAGCCGAATTACCGATTGCTGCATGCAATCGCTACGGATGACAAGTTCATATGTCGGGCTTGGAAATGCACTTACAATTGTCGAAATGGTTGCTCAACTGTGGACGACAATGCGATGCTGCATCTAGTTAAGTTCAGCTCACGAGTGCGCGTTAGACTGGGTGTGATTATGGTCCTGTGGCGCTTCGTCAGCAGGAGATAAGGGAGCGTCCTTTCGGGGCGGCATGCGCTCGTTGATGGCGTCCAAACCTTTCGCCTCGGCGAAGCTCGTGATCTTGTGGTTCGGCGAGAAACCTTGCAAAGCTGAAAAGAGCAGATTTAAGCATAAAGTTCTCAAATTTTATTTATAAACCGAAAATTCGTACCATTCTTTAGACTAGTCTTGCCGCCTGATAGAGCGCCCAGGGGCAAAGCGCCGGTCGGTGTCAGACCTTTAAGCTGAAGTACAGATTCGCTCTCCTCCCTAAAACACATAAGAATGATTTAAATTAAATATGTCAACTGTTCAATAATAGCACAGAAACTTGCCTCAAAACGGAGAATACTCGAGCCATCTTGCCAATAGCCCTGATCTTGTTACGGATAACTTCTTTTCGCAGATTTGCTGCAGTTCCTAAAATAGACAACGCAAAAAATTAACATCGCATCACAACATTTTGCCAAATTGTACCATGCTACGATCGTAATCATTTAACAACCATTTGCAATTGTCAAACACATTTACGACATTGTATGTACACATCATCGTACGTTAACATTACAAACTCGCAACGTTAATGTACTTGAACTAAGGGTAACATTAATATTTCCACTATATCTATGTTAGCACAGTATGGGAAATGATGAAATTATTTGTACGAACGGAAAAGAAGTTGATGAAATAAGGTGGTCATAACACAAGTTGTCACTTGACGCTTGTGTTAATCAACTCAGGGGGTTGGAGCAATCGGTACTTTCAAAATAATTGGTTTCGCCAAAAATACTGTTTTCATTTACCTTTCAGATATTCTCGGGAATTGATTATTAATCGCAATTGACTAGTAATCAAAACTGGTTAGGTATAATCGTTACGCTTAATGAGTTCCGATCAAAATCAAGTGCAGTATCAAAACCAAAATGATTACTCATGAAGTACATGCAGAGCACATTATATTCGCAAAATGGTGCGAATATTATGTTCAAAAATTTAAGACAAGTTTCAAAAGTAGAAGAAGAAAGAGCAAGATTGAGCATACAAGTATATAGCGCCACACTAATCTACGGGTACAGTACATTTCTACTTCTATGTAGTCGACTGGTTCTCGAAACATTCAAACAACCTGTGTGCGTTTTACTGAATGAATGTCCAACACTGGCCGTTTGAACGAATGAAAACAATGAAAAGCTACAAACTTACCGAAATGTGTTGGTCGACCGCCGTTAATATATTGATTTTGAATCAAATCATATTGATAGTTGATTATTTGCCGATGGTGGTAGTAGTAGGTAGTAAAACAACGTGTGTGTCGAAACGGTTGGTCAACAGCATAATTGGGTTGCAGTGGCGCAAAATGTAGCGAACGGCAGAAGTTATAGAAACAAAAAACAAAACAAATGGTGCGTATATAGAAAATTATATCATAGCCACAGAACCATTATTGAATTTAATATTTTCATATTAAATCGAATCAACGACTAATACTTTGAAATATATATATATATATATATGTAGAAAAATACAATTCAAAAAGTATTCTCGCTGTCAACGTGATTGGAATACAGATGCTAAATCTATATCCATTAAAGTAATTCAATTCTGTTCAAAAGTTTTACCTGACAGCTACGATTGAATCGAAACAAATTGAAAATGCCAAAGAGGCCAACTCCAATCGAATTGTACATTTTGTTCGATTATTTCTTTGGCATTTGCAATATCATTGAATTTTTAATCACTACAAACTTGACTAAATCATCAATTTAAAACTTAATAATAAACAAGTGTAAATTGGTTAACATTTCTGTTAAAAGTAAACGAAATAAATGTAATTAAGAATCAAATGTCAGCCAATCCAAAAACAAAACAATTTGAAACAAACCTTAGATTAGGACAAAATAACCAATCGTAAACACGTTTCCTTGTAAATCATTTGCAAACAAAGCGCGTTTAAATCGTTATTGTACAATATAATTCAAAACAACCAAAGACCAGTCAAACATAAAATAAAAACAGCATTACTGTTAATCAAAAATTTATAAAAACAAAACGAAATTGGTTGAATAAAATCGATAAATGAAGATTTAAATGGTTGAGGTAATTATTTGTGTTTTGGTAAAATTAATAGACAAATATCCTAAACTACTTTCATGAGCATACAGTACAAATGAGTTCTACGGTAATATCAAATTGAGTAAACAATGCATACGGTATCAACAATTTCGACCGATAAACACAAAATACTCATAAGTATAAAATGCATCAACAGCATGCCAAAGTATTTTTTTGAAAAAACTACATTACGGATATTTATAAAAAGAGATTGAAAATGTCAAAATTAGAGGTAACCAACTAAGTAAGAATTTCTAAATAAAGAAGTATGAAGAGAATGTCGCAGATAACTTCCGAAAGGCGAAAAGTGATAAAAAGCGTGGTATAAAAATCACATCTTCAAAAATGTGTCATTGTACCTTTTTGCGGCATCACTTATTTGTTTATATTGGATATTTTATGATATTTGTACCACACTTTAACTTATAAGTATGAAAATCGTAAATTATTTAAACTCTGAGACTTTAATGAAGAAAATTAATTTTGCTTTGCATTTCATTTTTCACTAATTCATATTGTTGGTAATTTTGATCAAATTTAGAATGATGCATTACGCGAATTTAACGTGGTTCGCGAGATGAGATCGTTAATGTTTTGAAAATCGACACGTAATGGAAACAATTTTGTTTGAAAATGACTAATTTGTAATAATAACGAAAGAATCATTAATGCAGTGTTATTATTAATTGAAAAAACTCCCTCTGTTTGTCAAGCTGCAGATGTTTGGAATCTGTGATTAACTTACCAGGTTTTTTAATAACAATTTTTGCCTGTTTCGCTGTGTAGGGGCGCGAATCCAAGCCGAATATAGATAAAATAGTGAAAAATAGAAGTGTCAGAATATAAAGGAGAAAAATATAAGCGAAAAATTACGTGTGCAAATGATATAGTCCATTTAAAAGTATTGAAACTATAAAATCATTGACAAAATCTCACATTTATCTAAAATAGGCCCAACCAAGGCAGTCAACGCTGTAATTGGGTTCATTTCGTTATCATGTAAATTGAAAAAGATTTGTGCTTGAATGCTGGATTCATTTTGAGTTATTTGTACATATAAATAGTTTGTGCCTTTCTCACAGAAATATATTATCATGTGCAATTATTATTGATATTTGAAAGCAAACGTAAAACAAGAAAATGTGGTTTCAAAGTGCACGCTAAAAGTACACGAGTAAAAATTGGGGGCATTGAGTCGAATAAACTTAAATCATATCAACACAAAGTGGAACAAATGCATATAACCGCTACCTGAAGAGGTATTTTAGTAATTTCACATTATAATAAATTAGTTTCAAAAGTGATTCGGATTACTTAAGTGTGTGGGGGACATATATACAAACTTCACATTTATCGTCTCATACCAAAAAACAAAACAACTGTACAGATCAACGCGGAAGACAAGTTTACAACGCATAAGATTCACTAGAAAAAAATGATGTCCAAATAAAAGTTGAAATCTAAAAAATCAGCTTTTCGTTTTTGAAACTAATTCACAAAGTGGGATCACAACTGAAGCTGAACGAAATAATATCAGAAAGAAACAATAATACTAATCATATTCAGGCATTATCGCTAAATTTGTTCACACTACGTCAACGTTCGAAGCAGTTAATTTATCAAATAAATGAATCGAACCGAACCATCAAATGATAATCGATAAACAAATAAAATGCTTGTAATAATAATAATATGCAGTATTGATATATTCAATAAAATATATTCTGGTCGCAATGTAGAAATGAAAAACTGAACCTTACCATCTGCTTGATTTTGCAAATCGTTCCACAAGTAGCAATGAAAAATAAAACAGTAAATATTACCTTTAAAATATGATTACAACATGTTTATCAACGTGTCGTGTAGACACGACCGGGAACGCTTTCAAATCCTAAGAAGCCAATTCTTTTAAATGCAATTATTCCATTAATTATTTTATATGTCCTTTGATATTTTTATTTGGGGTTTAATATTAATGGGCTCTATCAAAATTCTCTCAAAGCATTACGCAATGTTGATAAGGATCGGCACAAATGTGTTTTTAGAAAAACCTATATCAAATATTTATCAGTTTAAATTTATGCCAGTGCTTTTTTATCGTTCTAAAATTAATTCCTTGTTTTGCGTGTATTCTGGACATATTACTGCTTTAAATTTTGAAAATTCTGTATAAGTTGAATAAAAGTGTACTAAATATAATGCGAACATACCTTCTTCAAGAGCATCGTCACCCTCGGAGACCAACTCGTCATCCGAGCAAATGTTGAGTACATTGACGAGCATTTCCGTGACTTTCTCGCCCACGAATGGCAACGACCACGTGAAGACGTCCATGAAATTTGGCAGCCAGTATGGATGCGGCGAACAGTTGAACTGACGAATGTTCATCACATTGTTCTCGTATTTCAGCACGGCTGCCTGTATAGGACAACAATATATTAATATCAACTTAAATATTATCGTAGAGTATCTTTTAGTAGAGTTAAGTATGATCATACCTTGTTATTATAGACATCCAAATAGTTAGGTGCGGAGAATATTGTTATGAGTGATGGGAAACCAGTGGTTTGACTTTTCCTGTACATTCGGTAACTGCAACGAAGAAGATTTGTACAAATTTGCATCCAGATATAAAATTAAATTTAAGTTATTATTAATTATGAGAGTTTTTCAATTTATGCTGCTGCACCCTACTTTCATACGTTTGTTTTTTGACATAGTTTAATGTGTTCCTGTTGATACGTGTACGTCCCCATGTGGTAATGAACTTTTTTTGTGTCGTAACTTAAATAACCAACCGTCAACGATAAATATGCAAATGGGATGGTGGTTGGTTAGCTTTAGCCTCGCATGTTAAGTACACATGGCAAGATTATGTGCCGATGATAAAAAATGCCCTTCTCTGTCGGTTTTTCCTTCGATCACGCGCTTTGCACGAGCGCAAGGATTTTTCGCTCCTTTCAACAAAAGGGGTGTAAATGTCGGCCATGGAAACGGCAATTTATTAGTTAAAACGTAATATTTTATATAATTAAAGGCGAGTTTATTCGAAATTATTCTCATTTGCATGACTAAAAGTTTTGCGCAACTTTTACAACCACCCATTAGTTTATTATCGCTCGATATTTTTATTTAAAGTTCAGTTTTACGGTTTTGTTTAATCTGGTGGTTTGGAAACTTGCGTCGCCCATTAAGAATATGCACAAATGTGCGCCAGGAATGCAAACAGGGAAGGCAAAGTAAACGCAAAGTTTGCCGGGAGCATATGAGAAGAGAATGTTCATACTTTGGAATGTACGTTCGTAATTTTAGTGGATCAATTCATTCGGGGTGTGGTGTAGAGTGGAGTGTTGAGACGAGGTTGCGAATGTTGCGAGAATGCTGTCAAGCGTATTGTTGCCAACCAGCCACACTCAGCAAGAACTCACTCGCTTTTGTATACAAGGATAATGGTTACAAAGATTTCATTGCAATTTTGAAACAATCGCATGCTATCCATTAATCCAACCATCAAAAAATCAAAAGCCTACAAACTGTCAACAAATATCTGTAGATTTTAAATTATTATAAACTTTTAATTACGAAAATTGCACCTATGTCAATAAAATGGTGCTCTATGTCAATGTGAGTTCTTCTTTAAACCTATTAAGAGTTAGAACTCACATTTACTCAGTTGGAATAGGTGTCTATTTCGTTCGTAGAGTTTTCAAATTAAAGTTTGTCTCTAATGTTAGCGATGGAGTACTAAAGAAACCCGGAACAAATTCGTCGACAAGAGAATTCTAGACGTATCTAAAGTTTCAACATGTACTCTCCTTTAATATCCAATTACTATTGTTATTAAAAAGGTCTTCATGCAATTTGATAAATTATTCTTACCCGGCATCTTGTGCTTCGTGCGCCCTAATTATTGATAATAAATTATTATTTTGTAGGAAGTCGCAACAGGCAGCGTAGCTACAAAAAAGAATAATATTAGTACAACGTAATCATATTGACACAATAAAATAAATACCGTACCTGTAAAAATATGAGCAGCCTCTTACGGTGTTGTTTGAGAAGTGTTCCGCGTTATTTTCGTTGCCAAAATCCTCAAGAGGATCTGACCAGAGAAGATCACACATTGGACCGAACGCCGGCGGTTCCTTAAATCTGTCTAACTGTAAATATCAAACAAGAAATGATTAATTATTGATAAGTTACGGAAATTACAGTCTAGAATGTCAGCAAGATACGACATTAAGTATTCGGTCCCCTGCACATAACTTTAATATTTATCACAATTCGCATTTTGCATTCCGTACGCATCCTGTTTTCCGCCACTTTAAAAGCGCCCAAAAAGGTACGTTTTCATTCATATATGTGTACGAGTGCATACCCGTGTGTCAAATGTATGCACCCTGAACCCCAAACACAGAAAGTGTCGACCATGTAATATTTAAATCACATTCAACTCATGTAAAGCGTGCTCTGCATGCGGAATAGTAAACGAAAAGAAATACCAACCGAAAATATTTTACGCTCTTCAGATAAAATCATTTCGGGCTTCCTGACAACTTCCGGTGTGACAACATAAATGATGTATGTGCTATACATTCCGATAAACTTTAGAATACCAACAATTGTCAAGAGGACAAAATTAAAATGAATATTTATATATTGTTATTTAAAAGTAAGACGCCTTTCAGTTCGTGCAATGTTCTTCATAAATATCCAGATAAAGTGTACACCCGAGCGTATTTCCTTTGCATAAATTAAAACTTTCGTGATTAATCTAAAATTACACTGTGTACTAAATTCTAGATAGAGCACGCACAAGAACACAGAACGCCGAGGCGCGCAATTTGCCTAAAATCTGAAAAAGAGCGCAGTGCAAATCGCTAGGAATTCGACGCTTTCCTCCAAGGAACCCTAAATGATGAACGTCATGTCTCCAAGCTTCCAATTTAGGACAAAATCCTGAAAGCCTACAAGCGCATAACGCAGTTAGCTCGTGTAAAACGACCCGACGAAGGCGGGCCAGACGACTAATTGTAATTTATTCGTTTTTCTACAAAATGATATATTTGCGCGGCGTGTTATAGAACAACATCTACCGTTTTCCGACAAGCAGAAAAGTTGTCGACAAATAAAATTATATGGCCTCAACAAAGCGAAAAACAATTTATTGTTATTAAAATTACGCGTAATAAGCACTTTCATATTGCATACCAGTGTTTTATTAAATTCCTACTAGGCCGATCAAGATTAGTGCGGCAATGTCACAAAGAACTAAGTTCAGGAACATATTCGCGTGAAATAAAACTGCTGGAAACGCAAACCCGATGAATGCTTTGAAGCACTATAATTCGAGGGTGGTTTTTGTGCGCGACTCGCCTATTGAAAATGGTTAATTACTGAGAAATTCGAGATGACCTGTATTAATTTATAGATAAAAAAAGTGACGTGCACGCCTCGTATTACCATAACTTTCGAAATAACCGGCCACGAAAAAGATAAAGTGCACGAGAACGGTTTTTTGCGTCGCTCGCCCTCGCAAACAAAGCAAGCTGAAACCAAACCAAAAAAAGTTGATACAAGTAGGAACCAATGAAGCCCGAGCCGCAATAACCGAAGGAACAAGCGAAGTGGACTAACCAACACAAGAGCCTCTCAAAAGTAGGACACTTTACACTAATAAAGGTTCACTCTGTTATTTCAGCCTTCCTAGTACAACTAGTACATGTCGTGACGAACGAGCTAAGTCATTCAGCAATGTTATTCTCTATTTACTAACTGCGTTCATCGATTAATTATTATTACTCATTTTTGCTTCATTAAACGCTCGACATTCATTACTGCGCGGAAATTCAACCCGATTTTTATACAAAATTAATTTCTGCTATTTTTCTTCTTCAAAAACTCTTAGCGTTCATAATAATACAACAAAAGAGCTTAATACACGATTAAATTTAGAATGGCGTTCCAGAAGATGATGCAATTTCATGTATTTTCAGTTGAGTACCGCTGCGCATCTACACTAGATCCTCGAAGTTCCTGTCGGATTACAGCAGTCGCAAACTGAATAGAAACTGCTCTAAGCTGATGAGTCCCTCGGTCAAATAATTGAAGCAATCCGCGGATCAGACAAATCGCGCCCACGCGCATTATAACTCGCAGAGCAAATCATCAACATGCAAATTCAGCCAAAAACCAACACCGAATGCAATTGGGGCAAGATTTTATCCGGCTTCGTAATGAATTTAGAAGTACTACTACGCTTCGCATCGGATGACGTAGAATGCGAGTGTTCAGTTTCATGAGGCTTACCTTTCGAATATCATCTAAATTATGTATTTCTGGTGAGAGTCCGCCGTGAACACAAAGAAATTGCTGGTTCATTAGGGCTGCGAGGGGCAGGCAGTCGAAAGCGTCCATACACGCGTCATATACCCGCTCTGAATATTTAATTTTACCTAAACAGAATAAAACATTCATTAGAATTCCATTTAAATGATGAAAATAGTAAATGCAAAATTTAGTTTCATTAAATTACGCTAAAAATGCTGATTTTTCTAAATTAAACATAAAAATATATTAATTTGTCTATCTGTCTGTGTAAATATTAATTTATGCTTAAATTTAAAGTTGAGATAGTGAATATTTACAAGAAAAACTAAAATATTTTAAGAACATGTAAAATATCATACATTTTTTATCATTATCTTACAGATCCACTAGTGTAAATCAACGTTAATCACTTGTTGTGCTTAAAGTACCCTCGCAAAGAAAGAATATTCATCCATAGACGTAATATCTTCCAGGACTAATTACCCTCACGCACGCACAAGCTTTCATCCCATTCATACGTTTTGCACCCACTCCGGGCGAGTGTAAATGAATAAAATTGACCAAGCAATAAATTTTCTGTCATTCAGAGAGAATTATAACACTATAACTACACCTATCCTATTTGCCATAATCTCAACATCAAAATAATATCCAATATTAAAAGTACAAATACTTACATTCTTGTTTGAATGTAAAATATTCTGTAAGGTGACGACATTCGTGATTGCCACGAAGAAGGAACAGCGTCGTTGGGTGACAAAGCTTAAGCGCCCACAGGTACAGCACGCACTAAAAATAATAATCATTAAAATGTGATTTTACACATAATTATTTCGATATTAAACTTACCTCTATACTAAAATATCCTCTATCCACATAATCACCGAGAAATAGGTATTTTGTACTAGATGGAGGACCCCCGACTTCGAATAATTTCATGAGGTCATAAAACTGTCCGTGAATATCCCCGCATACTGCAAACAATAAACAAATAAACATTAATAGATGATATATCATAAAATATCATTGATTGCGTGCCATAATTTTGATGTAGTAAGTAAACTTGAAGAAAAAAATGTTTACTAAGTCAATCATGCTGAATTTATGTCTCCGAGTGTGTATAATTTAAAGGCAAATAAAGTAGACTTAATCATGTTACAATGTCCTTTATAAAATGTATTTCACAACAAAATGTGTGAAGTTTTCTTTCAGCTGAATGCCAACGGCATATTTAGCGCCAGGAAGAACAACTTCGCACTTTCATATCTCATGAAGTTACGAGCCAGTTCGGCTCTCGCCCGCGCTCTCATCGCTATTCCCGAAAGCCTCTTCTCTTCCACCAGCCGTGACTAACCGAACCGCGTGCCTTTTGTATTTAGTTTCGGGGTCCTCTATATATGAATATTCCGGCGTATTTATGTGTGAAGCATGTATGATAGAATTATATTTTGGCACGTGAATGCGCGCCCACCTAAATTCTACACGCCGACTAAAAATACGAAAGCGAGTCAAGTCTACGTGCCGCAAAATGCAAAACTAACACACAAGCTACGCGCCTGCCATCATCATATGCACGCCGCCACCAACACCATGCTTATAATTCCAGGTGTAGGTTGTTGTGTTGTACTGTGTACGCAGAGGCTAAACCGGCGGCGGCGGCTGCACTGCGCCGAGATATTTCCACATGCGGTTGACTTATATTCTGTCAACTTCAATGTGCATACCAATTTTGCGGACCTACATAACAAGATCAACAGAACGCGTGCTCGCGCTTCATAACTGTGCGCAATGAGCATTCGTGTTCGCTTATTTGCAACACATCGGACGCAAATATCATAAAACATCGACTACAATTGCAGGGACGATAAATTAGAAAAGTCTACGCGCAGAAACTTAAACAATTTGCGCCGCTGGCAAATAGCAGAGCGGTGCTTGTGTATCTGTTTGCGGCGCATTTTATTTCGTGTGTGTTTAAAAGCTTTTTGCCATCCTTCATAAAGGAACAAAGAAAAAACAAGTGTGTAATCTCAGCATAACATTTGTATACTTAGCCGAGGTTTATTTTTGATGTGTAAGATTTAGACATAAACACACTTTTTGCCCGAAGCACAATATATTAAATTAAAAAATGGAAGCTTAATTTGTATCAATATTTTGATTAAAATGAGGTATAAATTTTATAAAACCAGCAATTTGCATAAATTTGAACAAAATCTCTGTTATTATCTATAATATCAAAATGCTTGACTGCGATCCAATAATTTACGATCAAAATATTCCATCGTAATAAAATAATGTTTAAATTATAATATTTATGATAATTTCAAATTAAAATTCAAGCAGCTAGACAATTAATACGCACAAATTTCAACTTCTTGAATGTGACAACAATTATTTACAACTCGTGTAACGTGTCACCGCGGTTTGATTAAATGCGCGTTATTCTATTCGATTAACAGGTGGTTGGTTGGCTTGTTTTGATGACGGAAATTGATGGTAATTGAAAAATCGCAAGCCGAGTATGGATATGATGCTTCTTGACATTTATTAACTTTTTTTTATCGATGGATGGGACATCGACGTGCGGTTATCATTAAACCCACTTTAAAAACCAGTAATGCAGAAACCGCATAGGGACAATAAATTATAAATAATAAATAATTTAATAAAATATCTCTGCTTTAAAATTTACTATTACATGATTATAAAATAAAAGACACACCAAATGAAGTTTAGAAAGAAATAAAAAAAGTTTAATTTCTCGATTTCACAGCCGCCAGCAAAATGATACTAAATCAAACTTTTAGTTTCTTTTCAAACTCTAACAAGTTTGGTTTGCGACTGCTTCACGCTTAAAACAAACTTCAATACGTTACAAAAAGTGTAACAAAGTTTCAACGCGTCACTTTCTTGAAAATGGGAGCGCGTGCAGAAGTTAAAAAATACAACCTATTGCCTATAATTACAGCAATAAATTATTCGTTAACTTATGCACTTTAACTTATTGTGGCCACTACCCTAGTCCGCTTCCTGCAGTTAGCCTCTACTTATTTATATTTTTAATCGTTTTGCGCTTACTACACCTTGTTAAATCTTGTGTACGCACACAATGTTGCATGCGAGCCCACTCTTTTGCCGGAGTCGTTAGGTCAAACGTGGAAAATGAAAAATTTTATCGTTTTTAAATTTGCATTTTATTTTTCTTGCAAAAATGTATTTAAAAAGTATGCACTGCGTATGCACAATATAGAACTATTGTGTTGTTTTATGAAAATACGTTTTGAATCATAAATGGTCTGACATTTGATGCAGAATGTGCAGAATTGAACAATGAAAGTTGAGTAACGCATAACAATTTTTATTCCTGACTTTCGCAACACATGCACGCGCGAGCGCCATGTCCTGAGCACATAATACCAGTTTCACTCGCGCAGCAGGAAAATGCATCAAACGAAAAACCAATATCCCGTAGATAGGACATACATCGCAAAACCATTATTGAATTTAAGAGCCTTTATTCGCGTCTTTATGCGTTGGTTATACGTATACATTTCACCCCTAGCACCACTGCTACTTGAGCACATGCTATGCGCGACACACATAGTCGAAAACAGCGTGGCGAATCGCGCGGAAATACGCATAACCCAACAACAATATCGACGATCGACAAGATCCTCGCGAGTATACAACACAAGCGCCTTGCTGCTTGATGCTTCAAGCTGCCAATACAAGTGAACGTAAACGTTTTCAGGGCGGAAACGATTTGGATCCACAACAAAAAATAAGCAGTACGACAATAAGCACTTGGCGAGAATAGAATAGAAAATTCGCCAAAATTTAATCGAATAAAAATAACAATACAAAAGAAAGCAAATTGTTATAACAGCATTTTCCAATTCAAAACATACACAACAAATTCTCCAATGTATTTGTGTACGTATTCAATCAAGAAATAACTTTTTCAGTATTTCGATTTCGAAATAATATTATACTCACTATAAAGCAAGCCAATGACGGAAAACGTTTCCTACTCAATAAGTAAATTCGTTTGAACAAGAAGCTTGCTTTCGGCGAATAAAAATTTCATCTCCCATCTCCCACAAAAGATTGCATTTCATATAGGTAATTTCATTGCAATTTCTGTCCCGCGCGCCGAGCAAATAGGATGAGATGGAAGAATTACAAAATCAAAAAAATAAACAACATTCCCTCGCAGCATGAAAAATGTCAAAACGATTTTCGCCAACTCAAAAATGCAAAGAGAATGTAACTTTAAATAGATATACCATACGAACGCAGCAGATGAAATAAGGATGAGGCAGGATAAAGGTAGAGACTCTTGAGAATAGTGTATGGTCATATATCCGCATCAGGAGAATACGGGAATACGTTCGAGAACAAGAAAAAATGTTTAAAGAAAAACGTCAGAAATGTGCCGGAGTAAAACGAAGGAAATAAATACAATAAATGTGTTCCCACATGAGATCCTTCGAAACGATGTCATCTAAGATATGTTTTGTGGTCGTATATAAACACACCGGATGGAAAATTCAACTTGTATAAATATTGAAGTACCCTCATGTTTTATTTGATTTTATATTGCTACAAACAAATGGAGAAAGTACGTCTATCTCAATTAATGTTTATCGCATGCAAAAACATATAATATTATTATGGTGGAGGAGCCGGAATTAACCACAAAAGTTTTATGCACTGCAAGATTTTTATTTCCACCTGAGTCGGCTTAAATTTCACGCAATAAAAATAGAACTTTTCTAAATAATAAATTAAGCGCGCATGTAATTCGAAGTAAACACGTGTATAAGTGTTGCGTAATGCTTTCATTGAAAGAAGAGCCCTAGCATACCTATTCCTACTCATAGATATCAGGTCAAGCTAGAATTACGCGCCGGAAAAGCGAGAGCACCCATCTCATTTGTCAGAGGAAGGAAATATAGAGAAACAGCCGGCGTTTGAAACAGCTCGATAAAGGCATAAAACGGCTATATTGTTGTTGTTGAGTTTGTTGGCGCGTAATCAATCATCACACCACTTATATATTTATGTCAGTCCCAGGTTATGTATGAAAGAAGTATGATGTGCGAACGACGCACACGAAAAACGAACGCGGGGAGGACATTGAAATGGACAGGCCACGTCTGCCAGAAATTATTATTGGTCTTCGTGCCGTGTGTGTCCTTTTCGGCAACAGATGATCCGCATGATTATGTTTCATATAGAAACAACGGTTTTATCGTGATGAGCTTGATATGAAATTTATTTGTGCAGGCCTATAACTTACCAATATTAATCTAATTTGATATCCATAAATATTTTGTTATATTTTTAGCGCGTACAAATTTTATTAATAAATATAAAAAATATTTCACTTATAAAACATTCTAACGAATAATTTACCGACTTTACTCGGTTCATAATTGTCGTACAGATTAAATAATTAACTATTCATGTGTATAATTTAAATTATGTTCTAATTACGTAGAATACATAACGAGAATTATATGTTAGGGAAATTTGCGTAACGGAGAAAGGAATTTTTAATCAAATGCGTTATTATCAGACGTTCGCAATTCCTGAACTCAACTGCAATTCGCCCTTGTTTGACCTAATAGTTCCAGTTAATTATTTTCCTGTTTGACGAAGTTGTTTTCGCCGATGGCGGAAGTAAATTTGTTCCCATCCGTCCTCCCAGCTGCGCGTTCGTGCTCACTCTGATGCACAACACGAAGGAAAATTTGCCGAAACAGGCGTCTAACGAATGCAGCATTGGCATGAACATGTTTTCATACAAGTGCACGCAAAATTGGTACGGTACAATGTGTCTAGACGCTAAAAACAACTAGTTGCACGTTTCAAAAGACACATACAAGTAATTCGCGTGTCTTAGAATCATGTACAGTATATGATTCATGAAAAGTTGTTTGGAATTGAAGTTAAAGAGTATAAAAATAGA